GAACAACGAAAACGGCTATTATTTTATATATATAGATAAGTTATTAGGCTACAAATCTGCATACTAAAAAAAAAAAAATTAAAAAAAAACCCGACTAAAAAGTTGAAATGAAAGCATATTTTTATAATAAATAGCGGCAACAAATTTAAATAAGTTGTGGCATATATTGTGAAAAATTCCGTGCCAATACTTTTTGTAGTGTATCTCGTTACAAGCAATATAGGAGTATTACGTACATACATACCTTTTTTTTGGCGGTATACCGCATTTTCTTTTATATAAAAACAAATTCGATCATTCGTTTTAGGGAAGAAAATTCGAAACCCCTGTCGACCAAAAAAATCGAAGCTAATTTTGAACGACTTCGAACTTTCACTTAATTATTGTGAAATAAAAAATGTCTTAAAATTCTCTTTTTTTTTTTTAGAAATTTGTTGAATTTACGCCAACTTTGCACACAATTTTGTATTTTGAATTTTGATTTCGACTTTTTTGTATTACTGAATGAAGTACCGCTACGAGCAGTGAAATAGTAGTGCGTCCACGCAGCATATACTCCCTTCAGACTGTAAAAAATTTCAAATAATATTGCCCTTCGCAACTTTTTGTTGACGTGCGTAAAATATATATAGATTTTATACAAAATTGGTTTAATATGTAAATTAAATGGAGCAGTAAAAGGGTAGTTGCAATTAAAAATTATATTTAAAGACCAATGACGATTTTTTTTTTGAAGTTAACATAACGTTTTGCAATATATTGATGTACGTTTGCTGATCCAAGATGCTTTCAGTCTTGTGAATCGGACCTACACCTACAGTGACTCAAACAATTGATTTTTTTTTTTTTAATATTCGCAATGTTTTTCGAACTAATTTTTGTTTGTTATTTTCTCTAAAAATATCGTCTAAACTTTAACCAAAAACATCAGTTTCAATCTTATAAAAAATTTAGAAAAATTCGACAAATTCTGATCAAAGTTCAACATTTTAATCTTAAGAACAATTTTGGGTAGCATATAAAATAAAGTAGGATTAAAAAGCTTTATAAATTGACTTTTTCATACATTTTTCAATTTATAAACCCTTTGTAGAGCTACTTTATTTTTTATGAATAAGGCTATTACATTTATAGCCCAATTCTGTATCGGTGACAAAAATGATGTTACTGACAAACTTAAAATTTTTCATAGATTTTTCCGTAAAAAAAAACAACAGAATATGTAGTATGTATGTCAGCAAACTATTAAGCAATATACATAAAAAATGAGAAATCAACAAAAACCAATTTCAAAACTGAAAAGTAAAAAAAACAAGTAAGAAAGTCTAAGTTCGGGCGGAGCCGAACATTAAATACCCGGCGCAAGTATTAAATATATGTTTTTTTACCTTTCCGAAACCTTCCGCTAGATGGTAAGCCGGGGTGTATCAATTTTGAGTAAATTAGCGTCCTTCAATTTCGAAATATTGAAGTTTCAAGCATTTCTGAAATTTACCGTTATATGAGAAGCGGCCGTTAATTTAGCCCGATTTCAATAATTTTCAACGTTTTGCTTTTATGTGGCAAGCACAATAACCATACCGAGTTTGGTTCAAATTGCTAGAACGGTTAGCGAGATACATATATGTGATCATAAGTGGGCGGTGCCACGCCCATTTTCCAAAATTGTATCATAAACGTATTTCTTGGTAAAGAATTGTTGCAAGCATAAATTTTGAATAAATTAGCTTTAATCTTTCCTGATTTATCGAAGATTTTGTATTTCTCTGAATTACCGTTATATGAGATGTGGGCGTGGTTATTGCCCGATTTTAAAAAGTTTCGGCGATTTTTTATGCTGTACCAAGGCCAACAACTGTGCCAAGTTTGGAAGAAATTGGTGCAGCGGTTACCAAGATATACACATGTAACCATAACTGGGCGTGGCTACGCCCATTTTCCAAAAATTTATAATATTCTTATTTTTCGTCTAAAAATTATTGTAAGTGTCAATTTTGAGTGAATTATCTTCAGTAGTTACTAAAATATCGCAGTTTTCGGATTTCTGGAAATTACCGTTATATGGGAAGTGGGCGTCGTAACAGTCCGATTTCGCCCATTTTCAATACCAACCTACCTTGGATTAAGGGAAACCTACATACCAAATTTCGTTGATATCTCAATTTTTGCTCGAGTTATCGTGTACACGGACAGACGGACAGACGGACGGACAGACAGACATCGCTTAATCGATTTCTTTTTTCATCCTGATCATTTATGTATACATTTGTCTATATCTATCTCGTTTCGTTTTGGCTGTTACAAACAACCGTTATGTGAACAAAATTAATATACCCTTGTGCACAAGTGCGCTCGGGTATAAAAAATCTGTGACCAGGGGGCCAACTCTATGTAGTTCTATGAAACTGTGAAGTGAAAATGAAAAACTTAATGTCAGTGAAAATTAAATTTTGTATCGTTTCATTATATGTATCTATTTAAGCGATTCTCGAACAAAATGATTTTCCATTAACATCTAGCAAGTAATTATTTAGTAAATTATTGTGAGTTTAAGACATACTACGTTTATGCGACAGAAACATGAATTCATTTCATGCGAACTACTTTGCCGCTAACCAGCATAATTATTCATTCATCGGTCAATGTTTGGCCCTCTGAATGTACATACGTCTAAAACACTGGAAGCGATTTCGTTTCTAGTTTTTGGATCAGAAGACAGACATGTATGTAGATGGATGGACTTTTTTATGCTGGAACCTAGAACTGCCTAGTACCAGGCAAAATATTCCTTCCTTGCTCACCTTGACATTTAAATCACAGAGCACGATTTTAATGTCTTGACAAAGGCAGCGCTCGTATTTGCGATCCAAGCGCTCATAAGAGATCCTTGAGTGCCATCCGTCGGCAGCTTGGACGCAGGTGATTGTTGTTGTTGTTGTAGCATACAAGTTCCGCAAGGGGTTTTGGGGAGTGTTGCTGGAGTGACAGTCCTTGGCCAGATATAAATCTGGGTCGTTCCGGTTACGTAGACCCGACTGTCGTGGGACGCAGGTGATGGAGTGCTGCTAGACGTTCGTCTTTTAACAGTTCGCCGTGGTAGTCATCAAAAATACGGGGTTTCATTCGAGGCATTGTCGTACTTTTCAAAGGGAGGAGATTCTACTTGGCAGTATCTGATTACTGTTTCTTATCATCTGGCGGGGCAGTGCATGTGTACCTCGGCTGGCATTGTGACTTGCGAAGCGAGTACATTTTGACGAAGGGAACAGGTTAGCGAAGCGAGTGGTTTAGCGAAAACACTTAAAATTTGCTTTAACAGTATTCGCTTCGCAAGTCAAAATGCCTCAATTAATGGATATTAAAACATCGAGAAATAGGCATATAATCAAAAGCATTAAAAAAATTGTATGCCCGAGTTTCATTGCCATTAAATCACATTATAGATGTTCATAAATACGTAGGTATTTACTTATTATCTACCGAAGGCTGACGGAATATTTTGAAGAATACAATACCGTCCAACGCTTAGGACAAAAAATTGCTAAAATATGTTCATAAGTATATATCTATGCATGTATGCTGCTGATGTAAATTAGCTGTAAAAACTTGGCAAGTTTTGAAAGTAAAGTTTTCCCTTCGCAAAACGCGTGGAAAAGCGCGTACAATGGCACGCCTAACCGCATTTAAATTTCCTCTTTTAAAGTACATATTTCTTTGAAAATTATGTATTACTATTACTAGCATTCAAGGAAGAAAAGTAAAAAAATAGTAAAATCTTATTTATACATATAAAACACAACATAATTTTCCAGGAGAATCGGTCGGATAGCAGTCTATATGTAGCCCATATGGATCAATATCGATGCCAAAAGTTAAAATACGTAATTGCCAACGTCCAGCTATGTGTCCATTTATTGGTATCTAGAAAGTACGGCCATATCCGCAATCAACTTTTTCATTAAGAAAAGCAGCCACATTAACTTCAAAGGAGGCAATCTACGCCCGTGGAAAATATGCAGCTGCTGAATAGAAGAATCAATAAATTGTTCGTAACAAAACTTAAGCACAATCCCTTTTCCACACTGTTCATTTGTTATCCAGAAATGCTAGTTAATCACAAAGTAAATTCACAAAAATCGATAACGATATGCACAACTTTTTTAATCAATCGGGGCTCCGCTGGCACCAAAAACACCAACAACTAGCATGTATGTATACTTTTATCGACGCAGGCGTCAGTCGTGGCGCTCCGAAACGGCGGCGTCACATTTTTTCACTCATTACGAAACTTTTTAGAAATTTTTTGATCGAACTTTACTCACCACGAAAACCAAGAAAATTGAAAACAAACTACTCCAATGAAGCCACAATCAAATAAACGTCCTTTCTTGACTAAATTATCTTTATTAAATTTCCTAAAACTGCTTTAATTCTCCGTGAAAATTTGTCCGCAGCTTTGTCACCTAAATTTTTTCAGCAAATGACAGGTAGACACTTTCGTTAAGTGCAAAGGTTGCCAAACTTATCGTGAAATGTCCCAGGGTTGCAACGAAACTGATACAGACGCTGGCTGCATTTCTTTATTCATTCTGAACGTTTGGAATAAGCTTTTTTGTTTATTTATTCTTTAGAACGTTCCTGATGATATGTTGACGTATATTTCAAACGCATTCTGTTTATTCCGGCTGTGAAATGGGATTATCCGGAATGTATAAAGAAACGCAGCCGCTATGATTTGCTTTTGCAGACGAAAACAACGAATCAATTTTAGAAATAAAGTAAAGCCAAAAAGCGCACACTTTTTTTAATCATTTTAATAAATTTACAATCTTTCGTTTGTAAATAGAGCATAGAGAAGTGAGTTAACGAATTTATCTGAGCTGTGTGAACCAAGCCTAAAATATTTTATTTGACGAAACCATCTCCAGCGACATCTAGAGGTGAGAACTACTACCTTTTTCGTTTTGGCAATACTGCGAAATAATCATTTCGTATTTATTTTTCACAGAAATCGGTGGGTTTTTCTTTTAACATCTACGGAAAGTGGTTATTGAAGAAATTAAAGCAATCTAATTGAATCAAAATTAGTGAAAATAAGGTGAAATTATAATAAATCGCGCACAAAGTTGAAATAAAGCGAGCTTTTGATGTTAAACGATTAATTTCGCCACAAAAAGTGAAGTGAGTGCTTTTTCATCAAAAACACGAAAGGCAAAAAAGAAGAAAAAAAACGTCATCTCTTGCCAATAGAATTGCTGATGAATACGATTTCAGCTGGAGGAGAAACAAAATACACATAGCACTGATTTGGAAAATAAGGAAAGCCAATTGGCTTAACTTCGTTAATCGTACGCAATTAGGATATAAAATTTAAATTCAATTGGTATCACCAGAAAGCAATAAAGCAGCATATAGACACGACGCAGACGAACAAGGTTAGTGCGAATTGGAAAGTAGTAAAAAGAGCAAAAATGACTGTAATTTGTGAATCGTGTGGGTACTTAAATTATTTGTAATTATAGCAAAACAATACATATATCAGGTGTGATGTATACAATGACGGGTATTCGCTGGGTTTTCCTAATGCTGTACATATGCCTCGGGTCCGTGCACCCATCGTGGGACTGCATATGTATGTAGTCCACAATTTTTTATCAAATAATGCTAAATTGATATTGTTTTTGGTCTCAGCGAAATTGTTCATCTCTAAACATGCGTAGCTCACAAATTACTTGCGCACACAACGGAGTAGTAACTCGGGATTTGCACCAGTTTTACCTATGGTCACGAAACGACGTAGTACTGTATACACGTAGTATGTATATACAGGCGCATAACAGCTGGTGAAACGCTGAAGGCTTTTTTTGGATTGCTTTGCTAAGTATTTTCAACCAAGGGTAACGTTACCGGTCGCCGCTAACCTTTAAAAACTTACATATACTAGCAGACGGGCGGACTTTGTTCCGCCCAAAATTAATTTTTTATTTAAACATATGGTCCAATGATTTCATCAACAATTCACGTTCACGTTGGGTTTTGTGGTCGTCAAAAGGCATATCCTCCATTGCCATCTTAAATAACCAAGTGAAAGAGTTATGTCCGCGAAGAAGTTCTTGTGGCAAAAATGATCTGGTTCGATGGTGAATAGTCCATGAATCTGTATAGTGCGTTTGATGCCAATTGGGGGAGTATCATTAGTCCACAGAAATCCAATATACGTATATTTATTTCAGACGAAATACCTTAGATGTCTTACAGTTGTATTTGTAGTAGGGCTGTGCGATTAATTGATTATTCAAAATTTTAATTAATCATAAAGTAAATAACTCAATTATTCGATTAATCGGAAATTATGATTACTCAAAAGTACAGTTACTCGAGTAATCAAGATTTTGGTTATCCAAAAACAAAAATATTTGAGTAATTTGCTTTATGATTAATCAACATTATGAATAAAATGAGTAATCAACATTTCAAAGTACTCTTTACATACATACATATAAAGCAGTTGAAGTTCCTTGATACTTTGAAAAAAACGTATATGTTTTCAAAAATTAAAATGAAATACATACATAGTACATACATATCATGGTGGAATAATACAAGGTGTTGGATATTGACAGCGTTCTCGCTCTAATCCGCCATCTTGGCTCCCTTAGCTATATCGGTGTTTCCCTCTTGAAAAAACTACATTTTATCGCCTTTAAAAAAGTACTAAACTACCTCATTCCCTATTCCAAAACTGATTTGCAATCACTGAACAATTCTTTGACAGTTACTCTATTCTTATCGTTGGCAACTGAAAATTAAATTAGAAATTTCAACATTAATTCGGCAAAAAAACATCGGTTTAGAGTAGAGAGATTTGTAGTTATTTTGGTCGGTGCTTCCTTCCGCTGCAATTCCGTCTGTGGTTCACTGCCACTGGCCTTGCTTTTTCAACGATATAACTGTTTTCTTGGTAAGTTTAGATGGAAGATTTAAACAAGAACTACGTATTTAACTATGCATCTATTCCCCAGTGATTTTTGCTGCTGCAATCCCGTCTGTGGTTCACTGCCACTGGCCCTGCTTTTCCAACGATATAACTGTTTTTTTGGTAACTTCTACCGCTAAGACTTTGTTGCTTTTTCCCTTTTCCCTAAAAACATAATAGTGCTACAAAGCTCAATAACAATATGGAAACAAATGTTAATAAGCCACAATAATATTGACAATAAATAAGATTTCACTACGATTGAATTTTCTATTAGTAACAGGGTAGTTATAGTGAATGTTTTATTCGATAACTAAAACTATATTTGATGTTTGTAGCGATAAAAATATGCCTAAATCAGCCAAATACCCTATGTGGGTCGGCTGAATCAGTAAAACGTGACAGTAGTTGACTTTTGAGGTTAATATATCGGTCTTGAGTTGGTAAGGTTTTTAAAACATCCGCAGCTTCCTTTAAAGCATCGCTGCTAATTGCTGACATAAGATGTGGTCTTGTACGACTGAAAGGTGGCCTCAATTTGTAGAAACCATTTGTCTGGCATCTCAGTTCAGAACGGTCGGAGCTTGCATTGCGATGCAAGCTCCACATCTTTAGTTGGCATTTTGTTCGATGAAATATTCTCCCCATCCGTCGATGCGCCCTTTTGTCGATTCCGTCATGTAACGACTCGGGGTCACCACTAATTTTTTGGTTTTGGAAGTTTGACTATAATTATAGGACATTGTGTTTAATAAACTAAATTACCATTTATTGCATAAGTACTACGTTATATATACTACTTTCGCGAATTTAGCTTATCATAATATACCGTTTGTAACTATTTATATGCAAAATTTTATATGAAAAATAGTACATACCAAATTTCGAACTACTTCGCAAAGCGGGCTTTTTTTCTTCCCGTTTCTCTCGTGCTTCCATATTACAACCTTTTGTAAGGGAGCTGTCGACATGAGCTGTCACTACGTACAACACCTTGTATAATTCCACCATGCATACATATATTTTTCATATACAGAATATAAAAAAGTAGGGCTGTGCGATTAATTGATTACTCAAAATTTTAATTAATCATAAAGTAAATAACTCAGTTATTCGATTAATTAGAAGTTATGATTACTCAAAAGTTCAGTTACTCGAGTAATCAAGATTTTTGATTAACCAAAACCAAAAATATTTGAGTAATTTGCTTTATGATTAATCAATATTTCGAGTAAAATGAGTAATCAACATTTCAACTCTTTACATATGTATAAAGTAGTTGAAGTTCCTTGATACTTTGAAAACAACGTTTCTGTTTTCAAAAATTAAAACGAATTTTTTTTTTCATATATAGAATGTAAAAAAGAAAATAAGCATTTTCCAAAGCAAACTCTTTTAACGAGCAAAATTATTTTTTTTGAGTAATCATATTTCAAGTAACTCGATTAATCATCGTTTTGAGTAATCAAAATCTTGATTACTCGAGTAATTGATTAACCGAATAA